AAGCTTCCTGGATTGTCTGTGTATTGCCATAGTGGTCTCCCAACAGATGTCAATATGCAAATAAAATGTTACTAGAACCAGGGCCTGTGATCTGGAAACTTCTCTTAGTTGTCTGAAGAAAGCCTCATCTACCTCATCCACCTGATCCAGTGGTCTATAGCAGACACCAAACACAACATCACCCCTGTGGCTTCCACCGCTAAACTTAACCCAGGCTTCTCTCCCTCTATATACTGGAGCTCTGAGCAATCCTACTGCTCCACCCTCCCACTCCCCCCCAGTGCCAGCCACTGACCTGAGAGTCCCCTGCACCCAACAACCCCCCTAGTGCTAGCCTCCCACTAACAGTTCACCCCCGTGCCAGTCCCCTATACCAAATGCCTCAGTGCCAGCCCCCCATCACCAGACCCCATAGTGCCAGCCTTTGCTTTTCAAAACCCCCTCAGAGCCTCTCCAGTGCCAGTCCCCAATATTAGCACCAGAGGCCCCCATACCAGCGCTGTACCCAGACCCCCCCACTTATAGCCCCACCTCAGAGTCCCCCTAGTGCCAGCTCCCGAGTCTGAATGCCCCAGTGCCCCCCAGTGTCAGCCCCCTGCTCCTTAGAGCTCCCTACTGCTACTGCCCCACACCTCTCACCTAGCCCTGCACTGCCTTCCAACTACCAGCTCAGTGCTGCTGCTCAGGTCACAGCTGCTCTAAGGCTGCTGTTCTGGGCTCTGTGCAGCCCTCCTGCTGCGCAACAAAGCACTCTTCTCTGGCTTGGGAGACACCCCACCCCTGCCCGGTGCTGGTTTGCTGAGAGGCAGGGCAGGACATACCTCTCCAAACAGCTACAGCAGAAGGGGAGGCTCTGTCCAACTACCAGCTCAGTGCTGCTGCTCAGGTCACAGCTGCTCTAAGGCTGCTGTTCTGGGCTCTGTGCAGCCCTCCTGCTGCGCAACAAAGCACTCTTCTCTGGCTTGGGAGACACCCCACCCCTGCCCGGTGCTGGTTTGCTGAGAGGCAGGGCAGGACATACCTCTCCAAACAGCTACAGCAGAAGGGGAGGCTCTGGGTGGTATATCCCAGCTGTGGCCCCCAGAGTCACCGCAGCCAGGTGGTCCACGAACCAGCAGTGGGCCACGACCAGCTTACCTGAAGTACACCCAAAAGGCTTTGCACATCATTCATTAAGGAAATAGCTCATAAAGCCTTCCAGATAAAATACAATGGCCTGTGGACAAGAGAACCAATTCAAGCTATAACAACAAACCCAATACCTGAAATGAACTGAACCCAAACAATTTTTTCCTGGTTTGGATAAATCCTCTCC